GGCGCCGCGGGCGGCGGCGGCGTCGCGCACGGCGGCCAGGGCGGCGCCGGGGTCGCGCAGCCCCACGGCCAGCGCCGTCAGGCGCGGCAGGAATAGCGCCGCCGACCCGTCCGCCTGCGCAAACACACCACCGCGCTGCGCCTTTACACGTCCGTTCACTTGTTGTGAAACAAGACGCTCAAGCTATAACATAAGTCACAATAAAGTGCATTTTCTAGCTTTCAAAACAAGAAGAGCAATGCCAACAATGCACATCACCAAGGACGCTCTTGTGCCCTCTAGCGTAAAATACATGTTAATCTACATTATTAACACGAGTCACTTAATGCACATTAAGTGACTCATGTGCGCAGGCATCGACACGGCTGGTGTCATCATCGCTAGGTGATGTGCGTTAACTCAACGCAACACTTCTATGGCAGACCTTTTATTCTTCTACCAATGCACATAGGCCATTTTTCCAACCGTTTTAAATACCTCTGTAATGTTATGAAATCAAAATTTCTGTTATGGCCATTTTTAATGTGGCAAGGTGGTGGGAATGTGCAGCGGCAGTGCCCATTTTGTGCAACATGAAGTGCTTTCCAGATGGACTGTTGTAAATTGTGGGAAAATAAAAATTATACTATTATAAATGCAGAGTATTTAGAGTGTTATGAATATACGAAAACTGATGGGACGGACAAGAAATGTTGCAAAGGCTGGGAAAATGTTAATTGCTGGAACGTAAAATTGGGGTTTTACTGTATGTAGTTTTATAACCATCTCAACATTTTTCCTGGCTCAAACAATTTTTCCATGAATTCCCTAATTTTTCCCCTGATGTTTCCAGAAAGTCGTGAACATTATAAGAGCGAGTCATTACAGTTCCGTCTCAGATCGACTGCCCTCCAGCAATGACCACATGACCTGCACAATACAGAATGAAGCATTTTTAAGGCTCCTTTCCACAGGAGCATGTCCTTGGTCAGGCAAGTGGTTAGGTTAACTAGCCTCCCCCCCCCCCGGGGTGCAGGTTTGATGCCGCGGCTGAGGCACCAGATTTGAAAGGGAGGAAAAACCATTAGTTTTGATGGACCAAAAAATCTGACAGTGAAGCCCCTTACGAGAAGAAATAGTAATTTCACTCACATCCATGGCCTCGCAGAGCCGGGTACAGACTGCAGCTCGCTTGCCTCCCTCAGCCCACGGCAACTCTTGAGGGCGAGGTTGGCCTCGATACACATCAGCATAGGCTGTCTTTGTCGTATCTTCCTCTGATAACTCCACAGCCAAGAGAGAAAGCCAAGCAGGGTTCTTGATGTCACGCACAAACTCCTCGGTATGTTGGAGGAAGAGAGCGGGGTTATGATCCACCTGAAACAATAATTTCCACTTTCTGCAATCCACATCTCTACTGGAAAGGCACGAGCAAAGGTAATCTGTCAGTTGTTTAGCCTAAACACATCACATCACACCAGATTATGCTCTAAAGAGTAATTTGAATAAATTCAATTTCAATTTTGTAATTATGTTTTTTTGTGTGTGTTGGACTGTAATTTTTGTTGCAGGGCTCTAGACTCTTATTTTGTTTTCTATAATTACATACATACACATTAAAATATGAACTGTATTTGTATTTTATGTGAATTTGATTGTTCTTTGAGTAATTGTGACACATGATTAAGATGTAATTTGATTTAGCAGAGTTTTATGAACTCATTTGGAATTATAATAAATATAACTTTGCCTTACATTCATAGTTCATTACAGCTAATATTTATTTTCTGCATATAAATCAAGTTGTTTAATAAGAAAAACACCATTGATTCAAGTATTACATGCAGCTAATTCCATCTTGAAAATTAGAAATGTTGAACTATAACCTATATCTCCCATAAAGCACAGGCAGAGGGGGCTTCTCCTGATTGCAACAGGATGTGGGAGAGAAAGAAAGAAAGAAAGGAAAGAAAAAGAAAAGAAAAAAGAAAAGAAAAGAAAAAAAAGAAAGAAGAAAAGATAAAGAAAAGAAAAGGAAAACGAAAATGTTTTATAATGGGTTAATAGATTTGATATAACATTTTTGAAGTTTTACTTCATAAATAGACACATATTGAGCCAAGGGAGGTCTGACTCCGTAATTTAAACATATTTCATAGATCATTAGTGCATATTAATAACGTGCTTACTTAATATGTTCCCTTCACGAGATGAAAATTCCACAAAGTGGGTGGTTTTCAAATTTAACAACCTATTAAGTTTTGCTTTCTTGACTACAACAAATATTTTGTGCCAGAAAGCTCCCGCTACTTGTGGAGGGGCTCAAAAATCACTGCCAAATTTCCTCTATCCAAGTGTTAGGTAGCCTCCTTGAGAGCTACAGCAATTACTTTAATGTTGCAAAACTCACCAGGAGGTTGAGGTTGATGCGCTGCTTGCGGAAGAGCTCAAAAACAACGGCAAAATTTCCTCTGTCCAAGTTGTAAGCAGCCTGCTTCAGAACCAGAGCCCTTGGTGTGATGGTCTCCAAATTGCCTCTAGGCATTTGCAGCACCACACGATCACCAGCTGCAACTACCAAGCGCGAGCCCCTCTCAACACGGCGCGACACTGCCTCAGACAGAGTACAGGACACCGCGTCTTCCTGCACAGAAGCACAAAAACGATCAAACAATGAATAACAAAGTTAAATTAATTAAAATTAGCAAGGAGACCTAAGATCCCAACAAATTATGGACACAGAAGAGAGGGTGGACACAACGTCAAATCCAAGCCAGAAGTGCCCAAAGGTTCTGGAAGAATCTGCAGCCATCAAACCGTCAAATGATTTCGGCAGAATCTTGCAGAAAGTTGAGATTGCTGACGTACCAGAATGCGTACATTTTGGGAATTTCCACTTGGTCAAACATAGGAGAACTCGCAAAAGAGTAGAATGTTAGCGAGTTAGATTCCATGAGCCAAGAAAACAAATTGAAACATGAGAGACTGTTCATTGCAGACAGAGGAGATAGGATCAGGAGAGCACTGTCTATCAAATGCACATGATGGGAGTGAAGACAATCTACTATTGGAAGAAGGGCATGACCACAATAACACCAGCAGTGCCACCTTGGATTCTACACACCATACCTCTCAGAAAGACTAAATGTAATCTGCATTGGGCCAAGCGCGGTCTGACTCCGTAATTTAAAAAGTATTCCTAGTTTATGCTATGTTTTTCTGTAATCCATTTTTTTTAACGGACATATGATTCACGAACGATCATTGTCCTGGATTCAAAGACCTGCAGTAAATAGCTTATACTAACAGAATCTTACTAATGATGCTCAACTTATCTGTGACATATTGTACATAATCAAACCAGATACACATACAATGTACACAGAGAGTATGTGCATATACTAATGTAACAACAATTCAGCAATACACAACCTTGATCATGAAGAAATAGAAACATTCAAGAACATGCAAAATACATAACTACCATAACAAATGACATAACCTGATCCACCCATCACTGAAGAACAAATATCATTTAAGCCTTGTACTTTAATTTCTCTCCTCTCAATCTGTTTCTAATTACGGATTCAATACATGAGTGCATGATTCTCACCTGATCATGGAAGTGCAATTGCAGGCAGAGCAATGTGTGGGCAGAAGTGGTGAGAAGAAGGCAGTCTGGTGGTAAGACCAGCATGGAGGTGACATTATTGGCCACCTCTCGTCCATCCACATACAAACGGCTGCGACCACTCAAACCCACTATGCAAGGAGGCCTGTGTGAACAAGAACAGCGTTATGGGCAAATCTAAAGGTGTTTTTGGAGAGAGAGAGAGAGAGAGAGGATTTTCAAAAAAGGCAAAGGTTGAGGCGTGAAAATCCTTTCACAATCGTAAAATGTTAAAGAAACCCTACATATCAATCCGATATTCACATCAAAATTAATTTAGACAATATAATGTCACATCAGAAATTGGGACTGGTTCTACTAACTAAGAGTACACACTTCAAATGAGATGTGTTATACTGTGATTTTTGCAACTGTGCACCTGGCAGGTGTCAACTGTTGACAGTTTCATCCAATCAGGAGCTTGAACATCACCATAGTGATGCCAATATGGTGACATTCAAGCACCTGATTGGATGAAACCGTCAACAGCTGATACCTACCAGGGGTAGAATTGCATAAATCACAGTATAGTTCAGCATCCACCGCAAACGAAAGACTAGGGACATCAGCCTCCCAGAGTGGCATCCCTTGAACAACTAACTCCATCCACGTATTTAATTTTATAGACATGTGATGGTCTGTGGTGGATTTGAAACTCATGTCTTCTACTGCTCTCAACACACACTGAAGGGACTCACCTGCTATCACATATCTGCAGGACATGAACCTGCAAGAGCCTCTCAGGACAGCATGCAAGGGGCTTCACTGAGCAAGAAAGTTGATCCGATTGCTCTAGCTGCAGCAACAGTAGTCCTCCACTAGCCATCTGTAAGACGAGACGTCCCAGGCTGCCATCACCCACGGGTGTTAAGGTCAGTATTGATCCATCTAGGGGTACCTCAAGGCTGTACAAATTAGAAGATGTTATTAGAAAATGTGTTATTTTGTCTACAGGCAGCATCCCTAACCTGGAGAGGGGGAGGAATCAAAAGTTATAGCTAAGGTAGGAAAAGAAATATTCTTCATAAAACCCTATCACAAGATGATGTCTATTCAGTACAAACACATTGTTGATCTGCAATTGAAAAAGTTTCAATGGATTGAAAATTTGAAATGCTCCCTGAACAGAGAGAAATTTTGCAAAAAACAACATCCACCAGAAATCACTTACATTCCAGCCTTTAACACTTCGTTCTCCTCCTGCTCTTCAAGATGAAGCCACACAAGATGCGATGTTAGACCCACTGTAGCAACACACAGCAGCACCTGATCCAAGGCCCAAACCCAATGGTGAAGCAGCAAAGGTCGTCCTTGATTTTCCATTGGCACATGAACACTGCGCACCCACCTGGAAAAAATCCAAATGTAGTTGCAGACCAGCAAACTACAAAAATCCTAGCCCTTCAGAGGAATGCCAATTACAATATTTGAATACCGATTCATCACTCAGTAAATTCAATATCAAAGTAAATATATCAGAAAAAGGTGCTACAAATATTTTTTTTGTATTCTTTATAATGTCCTGCAATATTACAATATTGAAACATGAATACTACTTATACATTTGGCAATCATTTAAAAAACTCACTCCACCAAATAAAGCAAGAAAGATTTAAAAATACACATTATTAATTTTTGAAAATTTAAAACGTTTATGAATATGATGCTTATGATGCATAGTTCAGTGAATTCTGCTCTATCCTTAAAAAAATTTAAAAACGAAAAAAATGAGAAGTTTTTGAGAAACCCTTGTTCACGTATTTGAGAAAATTGTCAAGAGTTCACTAAAAATTATGCAAAAACTATAGTATTTAATTTCTTAAAATGTGCATCAAGTAGACAGAATCTTAATCACACAATACACAAGGTTTTCATGCATGGACACATGTACATAGAATGTCTTTTTGCTTTCTGCCCTTTTCCAAAACGCATATGCAAATCTGACAATTAGTTTTATTCTTTCAGAATTGATGTACGTAGATAACAATTAAGGGGAGAAAATCCAACAAAATCTTTGTTATATTTCTTTCAAGTAATTTTACATGACTTCAAGAAGACATTATTAATAAAGACCTGAAATACAATAATGTAAAGTTTCCTCGCAGTCTCATATTAAGAGAAAAGAAAAATGTGTCACCGACTTAATCTATAAGTGTTAATAACCTGCATCTAGTAAAACCCATATTTGTGATTTGAAAGAAAGAACGGAAAAAAAGAAAAAAAAACTAACTGACCTCAATGAGCGATTGGGGCCCTGGAAGAATGCTAGTCTGCCATCACTGAGAACCACACACACGTTGTCAGGGCAAGACGGGAGGCCCAACACCACTTGGTTCACGTTGGTGGGAAGTTGCAAGCGCTCAGCACACATTGGAGGAGGCACTACCTGCACAGAAACAAATTAAGAAGCCATCTTAGCGAAGCCTTAACCTTCGGCAATGAGACTTGCACGTTTGATAGCAGCTCCTGGCTACAAACAATTGGCTGGTTAGTCAACATTTTGGATACTCTTTTGTGGCCACCTTCACACTACAAAGCCCATTTTACTAGTTTCCTCTAGAATGCCCAGTAGAGTAATTTTAACGGAGTCTTCAACAAAGATAGTTAAAAAGTGATACTGAAGTAATATTTACACTCTTAAATATAATAATTTATTGAGAATTAATTAATAATATTCTACATCATTATTATATATTTAAAACATTTGCAGTAACTGTTCTGTAGGATATAAGTGAACGGCACATCTTGGCCGGAATGTACAATAAACAGAAAAATATGTTAAAAAATTAACTTTTATGCATAAATAATGTTGTAATAAGTAGAACAGAAAAATATAAATATTACATTTTAAATAATAACAGTAACACATGTGTCGCAAACATACTGCTCCTTTGCACTGCACTTCCTACAGTCTATCAGCTATTGCCAGATACCACTCTTAATTGAACACATTTCTTTTACACATTTTTGTTTCACACTGATCATTACTAGTTGAGTGCAACAGGATGAAGTTTACAAAGAAAATTATCTCAGAGCTTCAAAAGACTTTTCAGTTCTTGCTCACATTTTCATTTATTTTCTTTGTGATATTACAGACTACAACAAACTGTAATATCATCATCATCATCATTCTTAATTACATACTAGACATAGTTACTTACATTAAATAATACTTAAGACATTTGTAATGAACATATCAACATTCAGGAAACCTAATTTATTTTTAAATTTGCTCAGGCTATGAGAAAAGTGATCGAAGATTGTCACAGGCAAATCATTCCAGTCTCTAATAGTTTGATTCTTGAATTAATATTTCCCAATGTTCATTTTCTGAATTCTTGTCTGAATTTTATGCGCATGATCCGCTCTGCCAAAATATGCAACATATATTTTGCAAAAATTGTAAACCTTATTTAAAGATCGAATTGTCCAGAAGAGATTTTATTAGGAAAACAATAATTACCTTGAATATTAATGTCGTAGGAACATAAAATAAAAAAAATAAATTTTAAAAAAGCAAGACTTTTTGCAATTTTTGAAACTGCATAGAGATCAAAGAAAATCGTACTTGAAATATTTATATAAGCCTACTTTGCTCTATCAGGAAAAAAAAGGAAAAAAGATAAAAAGGAAAGAAAATTAAAATTAAGGATAGAGAACAATTTAAATTATGTGCTAAGAGGGGGGGGGGGAAGGGAGGGGGAGCAACATTTTGACATTCAAGACTGACTGTAGAACCAGTAGGTCTACCTCATTCCTCTCAAACAATCTACCTGAACATGAAGGCACCTTGGTAAGCTACCCTTGCTCTGGATTCATTGATGAAAACATGCTTCCCTCAACTCTCTCCTGTCCTCAAGAGTTAGTGAACTTTTCTCAGTAGATTTATTCATTTACATTATCATATTGCTTCAGCCATTACTAGAAGCAATTTGTTCTAGTTTTCAGTCACTATAAATAGAGAACTTTGAAAGAAGCCTTACCTTTTCAGAAAACGGTGTGAGGAGCACATCGTTGGCATCAATGACAGCCACCTCTGCTCTGTTTATCTGTGCAAAAGCTGAGCTGTGGTTAATGAGCCAATTCCACTCGTAAGTGGCATACTGAAGGGAGCCATACACAACATGTAGTCTGAGATTAGCCTCTGGATCCCAAGTGCAAGCCAGTAACTGCTGCTTTGTGGAGAAGGAAAAGCGCTGCTTCACGTACCAATGGTAATTGCCCATGGAGCACAACAGTAGATGGGCACCGTCTATGTTCTCATACCAGACTGACAATATGTCTGACTGCACGTTCCATGACAGTTCACGCACAATACCTTCTCCAGGTGGAAAAGGCAGTGTGAACTCCCCGTGGTGCAAACCATTCTTTTCAAAGAAAATGACCTGCAAGAGGAACAAAGATCCAATAAATTTTAAGAGTTGCCCCCACGAAAAGCTGACCCCCTCCAAAAACAGTGATCCTACACTTTTCATGAACCAAATAATTTTGCAAAACTCATAGATGAATATAAAAAACAAAAGAAAAGTAGAAAATGGAAATGCTATTTTTCTATCTAATACAGTTATTACATACACACCATTTGAAATGCCATCACTATTGATAACAAATTCCGTGCTAACTATAATACATATGAATAATACAAAATACATCTACTGCCCTTAATTTCTTTATAGTTTCTAATATCTTAATAGTCCAATATATATGATATTATTCTTACCCCGTAACAATAAACTGTGTCTTAGATCTTTCATAAGACAAAATGAAGGAATTTAACACTGCTAACACATTTGGAACATATCAATGAGTAACATATTAAGCAAATTCTCAATTCAATTAACCAATAATTTCAATTTATAAACTTTCACAGAAGAATAATTTTAAATAAATTGGGAGCAATGACTCAATACATTTCTCATAAAATAACCTTAACATCATGTGACTGTTAAATACACTTGTAACATAATGTGGAAAAAACACAAAGAGTGAACATAAGTTAAATCGTTATATTCTGAAACTTCCACAAATTCTCAAAAAACTGAGTAGCTCTTCTAAATTCATTTTTTCCTTCACTCCTCTAATTTCAAGTAAATGAAAATATACTATTACTAGGTTTACCAAATGTGAGGAACAATAAACTTAAAAATAAAAATCCTAAATCACCTCCCACAATACTGACATTTTGCCACAAAATACAAATAGTTTGACAGTACAATCACTTAGCTCAGCCACTTCATTCATAACCATTATTACTGATTTACAATTTTTTATATTTCGTACACTATCAGTAAACCTATCAATAACCATTTTTGTTTTTTAAATAATAAAATAAACATCTATTTTTAAATTTGTATTTCTACACAATTTAAAATTTTTTGACAATTTTCAATCGCATATCCACAGCCTTGATTTACAAATACAATAACTGCGCAGGTCAATTGCAGATCTCTACAGAAAACATATAAGCCTTTTGATTTTTGAGAAGCAAACTGAGATAATGACTCACTTTGTATTTGTTGGGTAGCACCTGCGTGGATGCAATAAGGTTTCCGGAGGGTCTCCAGGCAAGTGCCATCTCCAGCCCCGGGACAGACTCACTGGTGGCCTGCAGCACTCCTGCAACAATTACAGAGCACCTTCATTGCGTGTGTCGTAGATTTGGAGACCTCGTGATGAAAGGGGAAACCAGCTTGGGTAGCTCAAGGCATTAATTAACGACACTGAATGCAGTACCTAGAACTGGATGGTCCTACCGTTTCAGGGTCCTGACAGGGGTAGGATTTTCGACACTAGCTACAGAGCTGCAGTCTAGAGGAGAGTTCTACAGGCCAGTTGCTCAGATCAATAGTTTTTGGTGGTTTCTCTGATCAACACGAGGCAAATGTTGGAGCAGAATCCTAACAAACGGGCCATGCACAGTGCATGATCTGTCCTTCTCCCTTGTCCTATTCTCATGAGTCATTCATAAAACTTCTGTTAATTTTATTACAGCTTCAGGCATTTTTTTTTTTCCCCAGTTTCTTTTTTCCTTTCCTTCACCAAATATGGTGCAAATATGTAGCATTTTCCTTTCAAGTTTTTTCTCCACTTTCTCAACCCTTTTCCAAGCAACAAATTTTACTGATGCAACTGGGCAAGTGGAGTGTCTGCGATGGGATTATGCTTACAGATGTACTTTCCCAATGCGAATAATGAGACAGAACATTCTAATATATTTAATTTAATAAAACCTTTCAAAATACTTTAAATTGGATTTCAAAACATTTCTTCTTTTATTACAGATCGCACACACTGTTTACCTGGGTATATTCATTTCAGACCGGCTTTGAACAGATGTTACATCTCTGTCTCCTACTTCGTTTTCAAAGGCACACATGACATCTTTTTTGTTATTGTTATAAATATTCTGAGTTGTGGGAGATGCTTCTTCCATAATAACATGAGTGACTGACAGGCAATACATAATATTCAATCCTGTTTGACTGTCTCATTACATTTTCTGTACGAACCAAATCCTTTGCAATATCAACAATAAATAATCCTATGATCACATGTTTTCTAGCATTCACTAAGGGACAGCAACATACCTGTTGCTGTTCATTTTCCCCACAAAACATGGATAGCACACTACTTCAAAAACACATTCCCCTATCCCTACTAACCCGCAACAACACAATCTACAAAGCTGTCATTCTTAGAAAAACGCACACACTCAGTCTCAAATAACACCACGATGAAAAGATGTTGCGCAACCCAACATCCGGCCCTTGGTCACAAAGTGGTCATCAAGTAATCGACCAATCAAAACAAGAAAATGTTTCACGTTATTACACGTAGATTAAGAGACCTGGGCCAATGGACCTGCTTACCTAGTTGAGACTAAAAAATATTAAGATTTTTTTTTTCTTTTCAGAAACAGTTTTGTTAAATGGTTGCAGGTACAATTAAAAAACACTGTAGCAAACAAAGCCACTAAAAAAATTTCCCAGTCCCCTTCCATACTTTTCACATAAAATACTGAAAATGCTGCTGCGGGGTGGACACCGATTCCCTGGATAAGGGTTAATCTCTAAAATGAACAAATGGTAACTGAAATAAATTCATAATTAATATATGAATTTATTGAAGGAATTACAAATATCTATGACAAATAATGCCACAAGTCCAAATTAAGGTTCTTGTCATAGTGTAACAGCAACAGAAACAGGCCAATTAGTTTTCATTTAATTGATAGTAAAACTTAGCCTCACATCAAAGCAGTAATAGTTTAAGTTGGATACAAGTCACAAAGCGATGGTATGTACACTTACGTGAACGTTATCAGGCATTGCTGTATGAAAAATGTCTTTTTTGTGCGAGATGTTATTTTTTTGGACAATAATGGAGGTATTAGTTCTCCAGTAAGAGTAATAAAAAAATATGTTTGCAGTGAGCATTTTGAATGATATGAAAAACATGTTGTATACATCATGATTTTTTATTTCAGATTTTTAAACCCAAAAGCTCTTGAAAAACAGCATTGTAATATTATTAATTCTTTGAGATTGATTGACCACAATATGTCTTCTACTTCTGTTATATTTTCTAACATTTATCTTTTCCATTATGGTAAAAATGAACTTGTAAAATATTCTTGGGGGAGATAAAGTAGGATTACCGTAATTTAATTTACAGTAGCAATAAACACTATTTTAATTTCAAAAAAAGGTCACTCGGGCTCACTTTTCCATGTACGTAATACACATAAGAAGTTTTCAATTTCTTCACATCTCTAATTGCTTACCTTCTCGACTGAAAATCCTGATGCAACGTGCATTGGTCTCTGGCTTCACTGCACTGATAGCCACCAACGAGCCGTCTCCGCGCCAACTGGCACGTACAGAGCCATCATCTCTTGGTGATGGTTTTTCTGAAATTGCAGGAGTTTGTTTTGCAGCTGCTTTACCCTCTGAGCCATGGAACTGAGTTTGCTTGCTGCCCCACCCCACAGTGACAAAAGCCTGCTCTCCGAAGGCTGCTTGGTGAAGGGGTTGTTCCCACAAAGGATCAAATTCCAAGGTCATTGCCATCACCACATTCTGTCCTATGGTCACACAGAAATAACGCAAAATATTTTGAACATCACACGTCTATTACAATGTTATTACTATTGCAATGTTATTAAACATTATTACTATTACAATGTTATTAAACATTATTACATTACCAATGTTATTAAACATTATTACTATTAACACAATGCTTTCAAACATTAATATTTTGGTTTTTCTTACCACGGCTTCAGATTATTTGCAGAAATTGTCTATTATAGTATTTTTGAATAATATAACCAACACAATAAAAAAATATAAATTTAAATTATAAATGTATTTTAAAATAATTGATGAATTAATGAATTAAATTTGGAGAAGCATGTCATCTCATCTCTCTGCTATGCACTTTAAGGAGGTTCATTAATTCTTAGAAAAATTGTAATGCACATAACAGGTAAACTTCAAAGTAAATAAGGTTTCAACTTGTGTTTAAACCAAATGTATCAATGATTAACTTATACAAGTAAGCCGTTTTATAAAATAATAATTAACAATAACTTTGCCTTTAACAGAAAATAAACTTGCAATGCTAAATTTACAGCATATTGTTAATATTTTTTCATATGTACAAAACTTATCAAACTCTTTAAATACAAAAGCATTGAATCTAGGCTGTCTATCAGTAGTTAGTACTACACCTGTAACGAGCAGTAACACCTCTTCCTCCGGACTCCACTGCATGCAGCGCAGCCCTTGCTCCACACTTCCCACCACTTCCACCTGACGAGTGGTCCAGGCCAAGGAGATCAGGTCACCAGCCTCAGTTGCAAGGCATAGCACACCCAAGACGGAGTTGTAGCTCATTGCTACCACCTAACACACCACAAAGATGCAACTTTCATCGACAGGTTTTACTAGGGAAGTTAATGTTGGGCGTGTTGTAAACTGGTCAATACTTTTAGTATTATCACTTCCAAAACAATAAAAGAAACACTCGCTTTACATTATGTAATAGCACTGATTATAGTAATATATACAAGTCACAAACAAATTTCAAACAGTTCTATGCATCAATTTTGATACAAGAAAATTTAACTAGAAGCATCATCTGTTTTCAGCAATAAACTGAAACTTTTCACTTCATTTCAGAATTATATTTATTTTATTTATCGGTAATTAAAAATATTGATTTTAATCACTTTTTAACAATAAAACATGAACAAGGCAAAAGTAGGCAACATGATTAAGCAAGCAGTTCAAACAAGTACTTGACTTCTAGAATGGTGTGTGTTTGACAGTAAAATACTGATAAGTCAAGAGCATCCAGAGGGTGGGGCAGCTGACGCAACTGGCCCCAAACACCCCACTTAAGTGGGACACCAAAAAATTGTAAAAAATGTATTTCCTTCAATACATTTTTCGGAAAAAACATTTAATCATAGTTAAAATATGATTTTCTTTAAAATACATTAATAATTAATGATAATAAATATGGGGAACTTTTGTTGAACAAAAGGTGCCACTCACAGATCTACTGCCCAAGACCTTGTTTTCTGTGGGCGCCCCTGCTGATACTATAAAAATAAAAATACACGTACCTTCGATTTCAACTCCTCGTTGCAATGTTCTTTTACACTGAATTTTTCCAAGGCATGTTCATCTTCTTGCGAGAGACAATATACAATTCCATCATCATACATGTACACAGTATTTTCTAATGAATTCACACAAACGTGCTGAACGGTGTCGATTTGATCGACATGGCGATCAACATGACTATAAATCGCCAAATTCCTCATTTTCAACGAGCAATACGAAACGTATAATAAAATCGACAAACCAGCTCTACATCAAAGTTAAGCTCATGCACATGCTATCTAACCGACAGGTCGAGGATGCGCACATGGCAGGCGAAATATGCACTGCAACTTTATAATTCACGCAGAGTAAGCACATCACTTGCAGCATTTGATGCACGCCGACTCGACTGAAAAATTGCAAAAGAACACAATGTTTTTGAAACGTCAATGTTTTCCATTCGAAACATCAGGGAATTCATGACATATTTCTGCTCAGAGTCAGGGCCTTAGTTATAACTCCCATGGTGAAAGCCATTATGGTGGCGCGCTCTGCTTGCAGCCCCTTCTTAAGGAACTAAAACAAGAACTGCTGCCAATGCTGAATGAGTTCGCGGGTCGCGGGTCTTATATGAGTATATTATGAATAATTGAACATTTAGGAGACACTTTTCGTATTTCTCACAAATTAGCCAATTTCTATATGGGAAAGTTGGCGAGGCCAACCTGCAGCCTGCACTCGGCGACACTAGTGCCTTCTATAGTAGTAGCACTCTCCAGTTTTGATGGAGAGTTGCAGGGCAATATACTCTCTGTTGCAGGGCCCTGAGCAGAGTCCGGCAGAGGCAGTTTCAAGCAGGGCCTTGAAGACGGGAGGGGGAGCAGGGGGAAACTCAACGTTTTTTAATACACTCTGATTTATGTGTACCTTTAAGATCACGAGCTGGAAGGACGGGGGAACTCAATCAATCAATCGAATGCTTCGTTAGGATTTGAATTTTCGATGTTGAAGCTCCCGACTAAATGAAGTTAAGTTAAACCCTCTCCTTCCAGCTTGTGACCGTCAAGGGTCACTAAATTTAAATCGGAAGGTAAGAGGTTGAATTGAATTGCCTTATTTTACGTGGCGAGACGCAGGCCATGAGGCCTGTTCTTCCGTCTGACCAGGCAAATTTCGCTATGCTCCTTTCACCAACTAGGAGAGAAAGGAGGTATTTCTTGGGAGATTTGCAGAGAAATAGGGGATTTGAATTTAGCTCAAAGGCGTCATTTAGGCTTGAGGATCATTTACATGCAAGTAAATCAACTAACATGGGACAGCCGGCTTTACTTCCCCTCCGAAGGAAGGCGTACGAAGGCTTTTTCGCCCTTAAAAATTCACGGCTTCGATCGGGTTTGAACCCGCCAACTTGGGTACAACAGTTTGATACGCTGTCTACCGTCGTTGCCGGCTGTATGCGGCCATGCGACAATGTGTATAAGTGCTACAAACACGTCAAAACCACTGGACTGGTTGCTCCACATTTGACACGGATGCTTTTGGGCGGCCAAGAATAAAATCTAACGTAGTGGCAATTTAAAATTAGTGATCATTTTGAAACAACATCAATCCCAAAATTGTTGGATATCTTATAATTGTCTAAAAGACGAAAGCTATCGGCACATTGCGGCCAACCATAATTGGTGCAAGAGGTGAGGTTAGAAGAGAATCGGCAACTAGTGGCGTTCCACTTCAAATCGCACATGAGTTGTCACGATTATTTTTGAAATGAACTTATTTTTTTCTTAAATCTGGACAACAAAAAAACTTTTTATTGGCCTGAAAATTGATTATTTGTGTAGTTATACCCATATTAAATTTTGGAATTTTCGCGAGCATCGTAAAATATGGTCGATTAATACCCCGAATGTACTTAATATAAAAATTCCTTGTTTGTTTCATTTAATACTTTGAAATGTGTATTTATACTTCTGTAAATTATTTTTTTAAATAGTTATTTCATTTAAAAAATTGTATTTTTCTAAAAAAAAGTAAAATTCTACATGAACTCAATGCGATAAAAATTTGAAAAAATAGGCGTATTTCTTGTTCAATTTGCTATAAAATACAAGAAAAAAGTGGGCACTGCGCAGACAGTTCTAAGAAATAAATTGAAAGTGTGAGGAAGGGAGTACTCTCCCTGCCCATGCACTAACGAATTGCGTTCAGCCAATCTTTAATCCAAATAAGTAGAATTGCTGAAGAACAATAAAAAGAATGGCTGTCTGACTGAATAGGGTTTCAAAAAGTATTAGTATCTCACATGTATTAGTATTATAACGTCCTGCCAATGTGCCCGCTGGACCCCACAGGTTGGACGGTCGTCGAGGGGGGGGGTGGCCATCTGGTTGCAGGCTAGCGGCCACCAAGCTTGGAAGGTGCCGACCGGAGCATGTTGTCGGAACGTGGGTGTCAGAGCATGGGGATGTCGTGGCCCGCGAGAGAGATAGAATAATCTCTCTCGTGGTCGGTCACGTGATTCCTCGAAAAAGTGGCTAGCGAAGGAACGGCCGGCATTCGAGTTTACACCAAATCGCGGAAGGCACTTGTCACTCGGCAAGGATAGCTAGCTTCGGCTGCGAGGTGCGGCTGTTCGCCAAGGGACGGGAGGCCAGGAGCGGCGCCGAGGTTAGCTGGTGGGGTCTGTGTCAGACTGAGGCGGAGGTGTCTCACGGAAGTGCAGTGATGGAAGGGTAGCACTAGTTCCTCAGGTGTATAATTATTGTATAGAAATATTGTAAATAAATCTGTTCATAACAACTACGCGACTGTGTTTTACTCGCACCACGACGACGTGACAATATCTCACATGAAAACAATAGCAAACAAGGAAATGACAATTTAAGTTCTTAAGAGTTTAATAGCAATAGGACAAAACCTCGCCAAGAAAAGAAAATTGCTACAAAAACGGTATTCCCAAATAAGAAATTTCAAAAAGTACAAGTGCAATAACAGATATAATTTTTCATATTGATCATTTGACGTCTTTGAAAAATCGGACAGTAAAGATATTATGAAGAAACTTGACAAGGAATTGTCCAATCCCTGTAAAGTGTCCTAAACCCTACATCTATCCTAATTCCTTCCTCATTCTGGCTGCTGTGTAGTGGCGCAGGAGCGCGTAAGACGCCGGCTACCTGGCGGTCCTCTTGACAACAGACTGAGACGAGGTGCGACGGACAATGTTAAGAATTAATGGAGAATTACTCCAAAAAGTGCGAAGCGCTCAACGTCCCCCAATGGGCTTGAAGAAGCGTAGCGTCTATATAGACGTAATTTTTTTTTTAATTCATTCAGTAGATGACAAGACATTGAAGATTCAAATTTTGACATTCTTGAAAATTGGACATACAATAAATTAAACGACACTTCGAAACAGTCGATCTAACGAACATACTACCTTAAAGTTTTATTTTTCGCGCGCTTCGTTTGAGGCGGTGTCAATATATACAAAGCGGTAATAAATTAACGTAATATTACAAATCGTAGAAAAAATTTTGGGGACTCCTCAAAGGGAGACATTTTTTAACCGCGAAGGACATCAAATCGAATGCGACGGCTCGTCTCCAACACATGCCAAAAGAAGCTTTCTGCCGCTGCTTCCAGTCAGGATCAATGAAGCACGTGTGTGTGCGCGCAAGGATTCTACTTTGAAGGTGATGAGGTAAGCATTGACATAGACCATAACATTATCTTGCTGAACCACCATTCCGGGAACTTTTTGAACGCCCTTCGTATGTAGACTGAAGAACGCCTTCATTCATGTAAATGCTGAAACTAATAAAATTTCAATAAACATGAAAGTTGCGTAGTTAAAAAACAAGATAGAGTGTGGTATAGAAGGACAATTTGCTTTCAATTTAAAAATAATTTTTAATTTATTCACATTAGAACAGAAGTGGAAAGATCGTGTGAGTGATAATATTCTGGTTATGAATTGTCAAGAAACTTTGTGTTTTGTTATTAATGCTTTTGGACTGACTTTTTTTCTTTCATCCTGTCTTATTACTCATTTTCTCAAAAATTCTGAGAAAAATAGTTAAGTATAAGCAGTGGTTTTAGTGATCCGAGTCTGATTTAAGAAAGTCTCGTAAAATATCGCATAATTTGTGGTATCCGGCATTCAAGTGTAAAAGACAAGTTGCTGCGAGAGGAATACTCTCTTCTCACGAATACTCCTTTCAAAGTTACTAATGTTGAAAATGTATGCAATCCAACAAGCGAAAATATTGTTCATCAAAAGCCGATTAGTGGAAATACGGCAGACACTGATGATCAGCAGGTGTTCACGCGCTCAGGAAGAATCGTTCAACCACCAACGCATCTGTCTGATTATGTATTAAAATAATTCAACATTGTAAAGAGAAGGGATGTCAGATACTCAAGTCGAGGCCTAAGAGGGCAGCACTTCCGCCGAGCTGTGAACATGCACAAGGCATCTCAGTTCAGTTGATAAAAGTTAGTGGTCGTGATCACATCGCTCTGTATTTTGAATCACAGTTCTATTACAATAAAACTTAATTCTATCGAGCAGGCCTGTCAATTCGTTATTTAATGTCCTGATCCTGACACCTCTCTTTTCCCTTCAGGCCCGCGGCAGCTAGAAAAAAAAAAAAAGTACCGACGCCCTTTCCTCTTTCGCATTTCCCGAATGGGCTGTCTTTCACGAAGGTCTTTGGCGGTGGACTGCCAATCGCAGCTTCTGAACGACGCGTGCTTTGATATACCATGTTTTGAAAACTCTCTGAGAGTACTTTTTCCCCCTTGTTAAGGTACTTAAGAGAAATTACACCGAATTAATTTAGGTGTGCGCATGAGATCGTGCGAATACCTACGAGCCGCCACTGGTTTGTTACTTAAAGAAAAAACAACCACCGGTCCAGACATTTTTATTTGCGTTGTTTCGCATAAGAGATGTGGGATACTTTCATCGATATTTATAGGAACAGGATTACGTGGCTTTCATTGGTAGTAAACCATCGTCTCATATCTAAATAATAATTTAATGATTATGGGATAATAATAATAATAATAATAATAATAATAATAATAATATATAATAATTAATAATAATAATAATAAGAATAATAATAATAATAATAATAAGTAATAAAAGAAGAAGAAGAAGAAGAAGAAGAGAAAGAAGAAGAAAGAAGAAGAAGAAAGAAGAAGAAGAAGAAAGAAAGCTTCCATTTTGTAAAGTTATGATCGCAATAGTCTGCACACCACTCATTTATTTTCCTTTGCGCCAATATTGGAATTTTCGTTACCTATTTCACACCGACTCTACCTAAATCGCAGCAATACACTGCACAACCAATAATAAAAATACATGGACGGAAATATCCTTACACCTTGAAAATAACAACTCTGAGGCTCTTCCCTTCAGAGTAGGGAACAACCTAAAGTCACTGGAGGCAAGATCTGGAGAGTACGGAGGTTGAGGGACAACAGGAATGTTCTTCTCGGCGAAAAATTTCAGCACAAGCGATGTGTGGCTTGGTGCGTTATCGTGGTGCAGACACCACTGTCCTCGCCACTTGTCCCGTCGCTTCCTTCTAACCGCTTCGCGCAACCTCTGCGAAACTTGCGCGAAGAAATGACCAATAACAAACCGTCCAGGCGGTACGTACTCATGGTGTACCAAACCATCGATGACAAAATACGCAATGATCCTCACTTTGATTTTGGATCTGACCAGGCGT